AGCGACGCGGAAAGAGGCTGGGCCGCTGAGTGTGCTTGGACGCTCCCGGCGAGTGAGCAGAGGGCGGGCTGATGGCGGGTCACGCCCTGGCATGGATGCCGCTAGATGTTTGTGGTTTTCAAGATGAAATTGCCTCGTCATCACCAGAACTCAAGACAACATTTCCAGAGCTGGATTTTGGCAGCACCAAGGCCCAGTCAAAAACAGGAGGGTTGCCCGCGCTCCCAGGTGTTTCTGTGGGGGATCAGATTTGGCTGGGATGAAGCCCCCTCTAGGAAAGCTGCCAGAAGTTCCAGCTTAGTCTCTAAAACAGCGCTGGGCAAGATGCGGCCCGGGGGCTGGATCTGGCCGGCCTAGCACTTTGAGCCCGCAGACTGCATCGGGCCACCAAATTTCCAGGCGGTGGCTCAGGAAACCAGATCCTATTTAAATGGTTCAGGGGCACTATGCTACCCTAGCATGGGGAGGAGCCACAGGCCCTTTAAATAACTGCAGCAACCCCAGGCAGCTGCCAGGCAACACAGTACCGGCAGTGCTGGAAGACGCCAGAAGACACAAGTCCATTGTTTTTAATTCAAAGCCTCCAACCCCAGGCAACTCTGGAAGGAGGCTAGTCCTCAGCCCGGCCCCTTCTTCTGCAGGCCCTGCCTCTTCAAGGAGATGGAGCCAGTCAGCGACTACCCACCAAAATTCATTAAGTGGTCCCCTTGTGAAAATTATTGCCCACCCCTGCTCTAGCAAGTTTGAGCCTTGCCTAGGTAAAAACCCCTCTGCTTGGCTTTTTGCCTCACCTTCCTGCCTGCCTCCTGGAGCTGATTGGCCATTCAGAGATGCTACAGGCAAAGCACTCTGCTTCCCCTCTGCAACCCCAAGCCATTCTAACCAGAGAAGAGGGAGCAGAAAGATTGCAAAAGATGATGCTTCTTCCCCTCTGCTCCCTTCCCATGAGTTATGAAACAGCTTCTCTACTGCACCTAGCCTGGGAAGGGGCAGAGGAGGGTGAACAGCCCTTAGAAGTACAACCCAGGCTTGGGAGATAGGAGTGAAGAACCCCAGGAGGTGCAAGGAGAGGCTGAACTCAAGAGACGGGAGCAAGGGATGGGTGGCTGACATTGTTGAATAGATGGGTTGTGGGAAACAGGCTGAATTGATGTGGGGTCTGAAGCGTGGGGGAGGAGGGACAAGACAGACTGTGAGGATGGAGGGAGAGCTCTTGCGGGAGGGACCAAAAATCACTTTACCTAGTACATTTGAGAGCCTAAAGAACATTAACTCACACCCATACATGCACAGTGGGGGATAGGCAGGAGGGTTTCAAAACTCGACACACCAAAATATCTTTTTTAAAATCTCATGGTTTTGGGAGGCCAAAATTTTTTAGTGTCTGATACGATTTTTAATTTTGTGAGGTTGGCACTACTGGTGAGTAGTACCGTGCCTAACTGTCTGGGCTCCCATGTTGTGGTAAGGCCAGGAGTGTAGAGTCCAACACCCCTTGAATGTAGACCAAAAATTTGTTGACGACTGCCCTTACGACACAGTGCAATGTTTATGTGTATGTATGGTGTGGCCACCAGTGGGTCACCATGATCTATGAGGTAGAGATGCAGACACAGGCTTAGCAGCTCCAGAAGAAAAACAGTTCTGTTGTTTGCTGTTTTGATAAACAACCCCTAGGAAGGCAAAAATCAAACTTTTCATCTGTCTCTGATGTTACTAGATTTGGAGGGTTCATGCTGAAGGTAGTGTGGCACAAGATGAAGTTGGGACTATGAGCAGGAGCAGTGTTCCCTCTGATGATGCCCATTTCTATTTTATTCATCTCAGCCAATGCCTTCAGATGCCTTACACGGAGTTTCATGAAATTGTGTTGTAGCTGCATCTATACCTTAGAGAATATATATAGTATCATGAGCAAAACCCACTAATCCACTTCATCAGAGTTTGTCACAAACATACCATTCATCACACTAACAACCAAAATTAGTCCAAAGTATTACAGCCAGTCTTCACTCCCAAAGTGAGGGCTGAGGGTTTGCTCTCCCAGCCAGCCAGCAACTCTCCCTCTTTAGCTTCTCAATCAAAGTCTGACATCTGCTGCAGGTGCTATGAGACATAGTTGATTGGGCTCCTCAGCAGTCCATTAACCCTTTTTTTTATTTGTGTGGAGTTTGTATACCCCATCACATCATTTATCTACAAGTTCCAAAACTACTGTTAGGGGCAGTAGTGTCATAGCAGGACATACCTCCCAAAATTTTAAAAGCAGGGAAACGAGTTAAGTGGAAAACTTGTGCATTCATTTCCATCTTCATGCTGCCTCCATCACTCTTGATAACAATCCAAAGAATAAACAGTAAGACAGTTATGGTGCAGTGACAGCTTTTATGTCTATCTCCAACTGATATCAAAAGCAGTGTACTCCATCTTCGTTAAATTTGCATTTTAATACAAAACTTAAACAGGGACCTTGTGCTTTTATATCAATAGATTTGCATGCCTGGCTGTTGCATGCATTTGGGAAGTTATTTTGTGTTAACACTGCTGAGGGCATTGTTAAGAAGTGTGTTGGAATGTAAGATTAATGAAGTTGGGAATATGTATAGCTTTGGGGTAACTGTTGGAGAAAGATATCACTCCACCATAATTCAGGGCTGGAAGCAGCCTGTAATGTTGCCTAGGTGCTCTAACTCTGAGACTAATCTTGAACAGCTGAATAGCTTAGTAAAAGTTGACCTACGTTTGAATCTTCTGGAGATTTCCTACACAAATAAAGGAGTAGATATTGGACGTTCTTTAGAGTCTAAACAGCGATGGAACATCGCCAGGATGATCCAAGTCAATAAGAGGCTATTGGTGAGTGTTCTTGTTGAAATAGGCCTGTTTGTGGTTAATAAAATTATTTTTGTGTGCAATGTGGTTTTACTTGCATTTTAATAATGTATTTTATAGTGCTTTGTGTTTCATCTACATGCTAAGTTTGTAACTCTTGTTTGACTTAAAAATAAAATTTGTTTTATCTTTTCCCTGTGATCTGTAGTCTGCTTTATTTTTATTATGTTAGCTAGATTGTGGTAACACACATTATGTTTTAAATGGGCTTCAAACTTAGAGGAAGACACAATCCTTACCCTAAATTTAAAGATATAAAAACAAAGGAAGGGGCAACCATTTGTTTTGCCATTTTTAGAGAGGGTAAACGGGATGACCTAGGCTGATATTCATGCTGGGCAAGATAATGGAGTGGCTGAAATGGGACTTGATTAATATAGAATTAAAGAGGATAATGCAATTAATGCAAATTGGCACAGATTTATGAAAAATAAATCCTGTCAAACTAACTTTATCTCTTTTTAATGAGATGAAAAAGTTTGGTTGCTTTAATATACTTAAACTTTGGGAAGGCATTTAACTTGGCATTAAATGAAATCTTGATTAAAAACTAGAAAAATGAACATGGCACAGATTAAATGAATTAATACTTGACTATTAGATAGGATTTACAATGTAATTGTAAATGGGGAATAATCACTGAGCAGGTTTGTCTCCGGGGGATCTTCAGTGATCTGTTCTGGGCCCTACACTATTCAATATTTTTATCAATGACTTGGGAAAAAACATCAAATCATTACACAATCAGATGACACACAAACTGGGGGAACGATAAGTAGTGAAGAGGAGAGGTCATCATTCAGAGCAATTTGGATTCATTCGTAAACTGAGTGCAAGCAAACCATATGGCTATGTCTACACTCGCGGCTTCTTGCGTGAGAAATATGCAAATGAGGCTAAGCGTGGAATATCGCAGAGCCTCATTTGCATACCTAATGAACTGCCATTTTGCAGAAGAGGCTCTTGTGCCAGAAGAAGCTGTCTAGACTGCCCCTTCTTGTGCAAGAGCCTCTTCTGCAAAAACGGTGGCTCATTAGGTATGCAAATGAGGCTCTGTGATATTCCACGCTTAGCCTCATTTGCATATTTCTCACGCAAGAAGCCGCGAGTATAGACATAGCCTATGTGTTTTAAGACACATGAATATAAATGCATAGATCTCAGAACAAAGGCTGTTAACCCTACTTAACAGGATGGAGGATAGCAAAAAGATTTGTGATAGTGATAGACTCAAGGAACTCGAACTATTTAGATTAGTAAAAAGAAAGTTACAGGATGACTTGATTATAGTTGATAACCTACATGGGGAAGTAATAGTGGGTTCTTCAATCCAGCAAAGAAATCAAATTACTCTAACCCAATGACTGGAAGTTGAAGGTGGGCAAATTCAGACTGGAAATGTTTAACAGCAAGTAATTGGAACAATTAATAAGGGGTCATGGTGGATTCTCCATCACTGACAATGTTTAAATCAAGATTTTGTATTTTTTTTCCTAAAAAGATTTGCTCTAGGAATTATTTGGGGCGTGTTTTATGGCCTTTATTATATAGGGCTTCAGGCTAGATCATCATAATGGTCTCTTCTAACCTTAGAATCTGTGCATATAAGAAGGGAAAACAATCTGCTGTGATCATAGTACTGTTATCATTACTGAGGGATCATTAAAACAACTTTTAGCCTTGAGGAAACGTACACAATATTATCATTGTGGCAGTGTTTATCCACTTACATTTGAGTTTCAGGGATAAAATTTTCTATTGGTATGTGTAAAATCTGAGATTATTAGATGACCCTCTATGTGGAGCCCTCTTTCATAAAGAGGATGTATATAGTTATTTATGTAGAGAAGCAATGATCATAAATCAATCCCAGATACTATTTATACAGTTAACATATGTTTCCATTACATTTGCATAGTATAAATGCACTCAAACAATGCAGTGGAAACAAGAACAGTTTTGAATAACTTTTAAACAACTAACAGTAATAGTTTAACAACTGGGCAGGAAAGATTTACTTCAATCCACAGGGGATTAGCAGAAGTTCTCTAGAAACTCCTTTTGCGAAGCAAAGAGCATAGAAAACATAGTTTTCTATTCAAAGAGGTTCAGATACACTGGACCAGAGCTATCAGGAATAAAAGTGAGTATGTTGAAAACATCACAGTATAATAAAGGAATTCTTAGTAATAAGGTTATTTCAGTTTTTCATAAGAAAAACAATGCAGAATTTTAATCAGTAACACACTATAGGGTGGACCTCCCTGGTCCTGCACTCTTGGCACCTCAGAAGGAGGGATTTTGCTGAACCAAGGGAGGTCATTTCTGCCACTGCCCCCCCCAACCCAGCTCCCCTCATGGCCTGACCTCTCTGCAGGCTCCTCACATGCAAGGAGCTATGCTGCCCACGGTCCCGCTGCTGGGGCTCTCATCTACGGTGGGGCAAACCACTGCCGTGGTCCTGCCAGATCACAGATGTTGCTGGACCAGGGAGTCCTGGTTGAGAGAGATTAAACAGCATATAAAAGGAAAATTGTTCATCAGAGTCATAGTTGGGAAAGGGAAAACCTTCAATAGATACATAGTTATAGTGAAAATTGACTGCAGCACCAGACTGTTCTTAGGACATCTCCAGCTTATGGGAAATTTCCTGAAAGGCTGCTTCGGTAGCTCCAGGATGAATATAAATCAATTATTTAAAAAGCTCCAATTTTTTAATTTAAATATTATTTTTAAAATTTTAAAATAATTATACAATATTAATTTTCTTATTTAAATATAGTTACAATTACATCTGATCACAAACTTGTTACACATACACTTACAGTCTCATAAAAATGAATGAATGGCTCTAAGGGTATGTCTAGACTACATGCCTCTCGCCAGAGGCATGTAGATTAGGCTACCAGACATAGGAAAATGAAGCGGCGATTTAAATAATTGCCATTTCATTTAAATTTACATGGCTGCCGCGCTAAGCCGACAAACAGCTGATCAGCTGTTTGTCGGCTCAGTACGATAGTCTGGACACGCGGGTGTCGACATCAAAGGTATTAGCTGTTTGTCGGCTCAGCGCGATAGTCTGGACGCGCGGGTGGCGACATCAAAGGTATTTGTTGACCACCCAGGTATACCTCATCCCAGGAGGCATATACCTGGGTGGTCAACAAATACCTTTGATGTCGACACCAGCGCGTCCAGACTATTGCGCTGAGCCAACAAACAGCTGATCAGCTGTTTGTTGGCTCAGCGCAGCAGCCATGTAAATTTAAATGAAGCGGCAATTATTTAAATCGCCGCTTCATTTTCCTATGTCTGGTAGCCTAGTCTACATGCCTCTGGCGACACAGGCATGTAGTCTAGACGTACCCTAAGTCTCTCCAGCCTAACAAACATCTTGCTTCTTGAAAGTTCTGAGCCTTCAATTTCTTTTCCTCAACAGACTAACGTGCAAAGACAGACACAGGCTGGATAGGATTGTTTTTGTTCTGTAATTATCTGGTGGTGGGCCTGGACCAAGTACAGCAGAGTTAGTTAAAACGTTGTCTAAAGACAGAGACGCTATATAGGAAAGGATGGAGGCAGCATAGAAAGGAACAGTGGAGTGAACTAGAAAGAAAAAGGGAAGACATTATTCACCACACACATAGGGGCTGCATCTAGACTGGCAAGTTTTTCCACAAAAGTGGCTACTAGTGCAAAAACTTGCCAGCTATCTACACTGGCCGCTTGATTTTGCGCAAAAGCACTGACGTTCTACTGTCCGAAATCAGTGCTTCTTGCGCAAATGGTTTGACGTTCCCGTCTGGGCAAAAGCCCTTTTCCAGAAATGTTTTTGCACAAGAGGGCCGGTGTAGACAGCTAAAAACTGTTTTGCGCAAAAAAGCCCCGATGGCGAAAATGGCGATCGGGGCTTTCTTGCGCAAAAACCGCATCTAGATTGGCACGGACGCTTTTCCCCAAAAAGTGCGTTTGTGGAAAAGCGTCCATGCCAATCTAGACGCTCTTTTCCGCAAATGCTTTTAACGGAAAAAAAATGCTGAATCGCATTTAAGGCCAGCTGAAACCGGATCTGGCAGGGCATCAGGTCAGTAGTTGCTTTGTATGGCTGCTGTCTGAGGCTTATGCTTAAAGGGACTCCCCTGGACAGCCAGTTCTCAGCTTTCCCTGCTTGCTTACCTACCTCGCTGAGGGACAGCAAAGCATTTTTCTCTCTGCCTGCTTGGTTACCTTCACTTGGGACACCACAGCACTTGGCACCATGGAGCCAGAATTGCCCCTAGACACTCTGGTGCTTCTTTGGTATCTTTTGCTGCAAGCCTGGCAGCAAGTGCTGGAGACTGCCTGGCACCATCTGCAGCAGCCCAACCCCCAAGTCCTCTTCCGGACCCTCGTGGGAGCTGTGGAGGAACAGCGCCTGGAC